GTGATGCGGAGAGTTGACAGCGAGTATTGCTTACACTGCACCAACCAAGCAATAGAAACACTAGAACACAAATTCTGTACCTGCACTCGAGTTGTTCCAGCTTGGGAAATCCTGCAGCGGACAATAGCTACTGTTCTGAATGGGTGGAGACGGCTGTCGTTCGAGGAGCTAATCAGACCGGCTTTGAAGAGAATCAACAGAACAAACAAACTAACAATATTAAAATTGTTTGTAAAGTACATTAGCTATATAAGTAGTTGTAATGGAGTGATAAATTTACAAGCACTGGAGTTCGAACTAAATTTTAATAGTTAAATAATAATGAATGTGATACATCTTTGACAATAAAACCAAATTTATATAAAAAAAAAAAAAAAAAAAAAAACAATAGGATTATTCAAACTTGTCAGATATTTCGAGTTGTTCTTGGAACTGATATGGAAGTGCGGAGATGTCCGTAGATGTTCCGAGAAGTCCGGAGAATTACCTAAGTACGTAAAACTTCTGAGAAGTCTGTAGAATTTCCGACATGACCATAGAATATCCAAGACGTCCATACTTACCATACTTACCAATCAGACTAAGGCCTCTGCTGTCCGAAGAAGTCGTCTCCACTCTACTCGATCCATGGCCACATGTCGCCAGCCTCTTAGCCAGGTCGCCTTCTACTTGGTCGATCTCCCTTGCCCGCAGCGCGCCTCTTCATCATGTGCCTGTTGGGTTGCTTTCGGGAAACATTTCCACTAGTTACGACGTGCCCAGCCCACCGTAGTCGTTCAATTTTTGCAGTGTGGACGATGGTTGGTTGAACTTGGTTCTCCCAACGGCGGGTGCAATTCGAGGTTCATTCGTCTCCTCGACGTCATCCATCTGCACTCCACCGTAGATGGCCCACAACACCTTCCGTTCGAAAACACCAAGGGCACGTTGGTCCTCCACGAGCATAGTCCATTTCTCATGGCCGTAGAGGACCACCAGTCTAATCAGCGTCTAGTCATAATGCGTCTCTGCTGGTATCATTTTTGGCGGTCACCCGTTTGCCCAAATACACGAACTCGTCGACCATATCGATTTCGTCACCGTCAAACCTAACTCGGTGTGGGAGGCTAACATTGTCTTCCCTAGAACCTCTTCCTCTCATATATTTCGTCTTCGATGTACGATGGCCTTCAGTCTGATGTACGTTTCCACCATCGTCTCAAAGTTCCGTACCATGATGCTGATGTCATCGGCGAAGACAAGAAGCAGGATGGACTTCCTGAAGATCGTGCCACTCGTGTCTATCCCAGCTTTTCTGATCACACCTTCTAACGCGATGTTAAATAGCAGAGAGCTGATTTCGATCGATTGTGTTATACGCGGATTTGAATCGATGAACAAATGATGTTTGGGACGTTGTATTCGCAGCATTTCTGCAGAACCTGCCGAATCGCGAAAATTTGGTCCGTGGTAGCGCGGGCACCCATGAATCCCGCCTGGTATTGCCCCACGAACTCTCTTACAAATGGTGACAGGCGGCGGGGACCTTGTAGGCGGCGCTCAGCAGTTTGATCGCGTGGTAGTTGTAGCAATCCAACTTGTCACCCTTTTTGTAGATTGGGCATACGATAACTTCCATCCACTCCTCCGGTAATATCTCCTCCTCCCAAATCTTGGCAATTACCCAGTGCAGCGCTCTAGCCAGTGCTTCACCACCGTATTTTAATAGCTCACTTGGTAGTTGATCTACACCAGTTGCTTTGTTGTTTTTCAGTCGACTGATCTCCTACTCAACTTTTTGGAGATCAGGAGCCGGTAGCCTGTCGTCTTTTACGCGTGCTTCCATGTCTGTTACCGTGCCACCTTTGTTTTCTCCTGCATCACCGTTGAGGTGCTCGTCATAGTACTGCTTCCACCTCTCCATCACCTCACACTCGTTCGTAAGAAGGTTACCGTCCAAGTCCTTGCACATATCGGCTGACGGCACGTAGCCTTTGCGCTAGCTATTTAGCTTCTCATAGAGCTTCCGTGTGTCGTTTACGCGGTACAGATTTTCTATCGCCTCACGATCTCGGTCTTCCTGTTGACGCTTCTTCCTTCGGAAAACCGATTTTTGTCTGTTCCACGCTTGTCTGTTCCGCGCTTGTCTGTCCCGCGCTTGTCTGTTCCGCGCTTGTCTGTATCGCTCCACATTCAATCTCGTGCGGTGTTACAGCATTCTCGCCCGTGCTGAGTTCTTCTCCTCTACTAACAGTTTGCATTCGCCGTCAAACCAGTCATTTCTTCGGTCCGGGATCGCAGTACCTAGTGCCACTGCAGCAGTACTACCTATGGCGGAACGCCATCTTCAAGAGTAGCTGCGCCAAGCTGCTCCTCCGTGGGTAGTGCAGCTTACAGCTGCTGCGCGTAATCCTGGACAACTCTGGCGTCCCGTAATTGCTCAATGTTGGGTCACAGCGTTCGACTTCGAAGGGTGTTATGCACCGTCGAGAGTTTTGAGCGCATGCATACTGCAACTAAGTAGTGGTCCGAATCTATGTTTTCCGTCGATTAGAATGTGATCGATTTGGTTTTCTGTGTTTGATCAAGATATCTCCAGATGGCTTTGTGGATATTCTTGCGGGGGAAAAAGATACCTCAGACTACCATACCACGGGTTGCTGCAAAGTTTACGTATCAATGGATTGCCGGTCTGTATAGTGTCTCCCGCCCTACCTGAGCGTTCATGTCGCCGATGATGATTTTGACGTCCCGTTGATACTTTCTCGTCGTTGGGTCTCCCTTCGTGTGGGCAGTGCACGTTGATGATGCTGTAGTTGAAGAAACGGCCCTTAATTCTCAACTTGCATATCCTCGCGTGAGGCCTCCCTTAGCTCAGTCGGTAAAGGTGCAGCTACAAAGCTGGAGGTGGCTGGGTTCGATTCCTGGTCCGGTCTAGGAATTTTTCGGGTTGGAAAATTTCTCGACTTCTCTGGGCATAGAAGTATGATTGGACTTGCCACACAATTATACCAATGCAAAAATGGTACAGGCATCGAAAGCTCTCAATTAATAACTGTGGAAGTGCATCTAGAACACTAAGTTGGAAGCACGCAATAAGCTAATATGCGATATGCAATAAGCTTGAAATGCGAAGAAGAAGAGAATATCCTCTCGTTGATCGGCTGCCAACCAATCAGGCGTTGGCGCATCTTACCCTGCAAAGCCGGTTCCCAGCTCGTTGGTGGTGTCACAGCTCTGGTAGAAAGTAGCCGCTCGATGTCTGCTTTTCCATACCTTTTGTCCCGTCCAGAAAAGTTCCTGCAGTGCTACGACTTCAACGTTGCGTGGTTGAAGTTCGTCATAGATTAACCTATCGCAGCCCGGGAATCCGAGCGATTTGCAGTTCCATGTTTCGAGTTTCCAATCGTAGTCCTTATTTCGTCACGTAGGTCTATGCCGATTGTTCCGATGCGTGTTTCTTTCTTCGGTATTTGCAACTTTATATTTTTTCCAGGGTGGCTTGTTAGGGCTGCTTCAACCATCTGTCTCGCCGTGGGACCATTGTGCACAGCTCTGTTTAGAGTCCCATGCTGGAGAACAGACTCCGTTTTGTGCCACATGGAGAACAGACTCCGTTTTGTGCCGCACCTCCACTATGGTTACCATGCCAGTGTTCGCGGTGCACTTTTTCACTTTGCTATTACTGGACTGGCAACATTGCCTAGGCTACGCCACCCAGCTGTGTTCATGTTTCAGTTGGTAGTCTTTTGTTATCATATGTATGTCTCGGGGAGGCGGGAGGACCAGAGCTAGCTACCACGCTCCTTCCATGTTGTCAACTCACCATTTTTTAGCCCATGCTGTTTAAAATGTCCTTATATTAATTTTTGTTCATTAAGAATATTTTAAAACCTACTAATTATGTAATGTGATGGTCACTGTGACTGAAACGCCCCTTCCAGTCGTTGTAATACTCCGAATGTCGAAAAGTTCTGCAACTTGGTAAAATATTCCGTTTAGAAATGAGCACTATTCTGTAGGTTTTGTTCACCTGAACTACTTTACCGAGGACAGAAAAGTTTAAACTGGTTGTGTTAAGACGAACTGATCTAACCATCATTCTAAGTTACAAATTTCCAGCCAAACTTACCGTCATTATGTAATTTCCCAAAAAAAAACTACATCTACAGTCAACCACATAAAGCGGAACAAATCCCCAAACGGATATATCTAGGTGAACCAAGTGAAAATGAAATCCACCCACAAACTCCCATTGAAACTATTCTCTGAAACACGTCTTCTTGAGAATGGTAAAAAATTTCCTTAGTACATTAGCTACAAGCACGCAGGGATGGATCGCTCTTTTGGGGCTTTTTCTTCACTTTTGAATGTAGAATGCTAACGTTAAATTCAAATGAATTTTCAGTTAACCCATATTAAAATAAATAGTTTAGTGCTATTAATCTCCCTATCAAAATTCAAAATTTACGCACTTAGGAGCGCTCTCGAGTTAACCTTCGGTGAATATATGGATTTTGGCTCTACAGGCATTAAACCATCTATTTCCACGGTGCCTGTGGCAGAGCAACATTAATAATCAGGTGCTCCGCTTTCATTTGAGGCTAGTTTTCAAATGCTCTATCGGGGACACTGTTTGGGCTGAAATGGGCTTAACATATTTTTTTGGACGCGATTCACACTAAAAAATATAAATTATTCTATATCCTCCGATGGAACATTTTGATGCTTGCCTTAGCTTTCGTTCGGTGGGTGGGCGATACTGATTTTTTATGATAAGGTTTTCTTTCAGAGACACCATGTTTTACGATGGGTTAGCTGAAAATTCAACTGAATTTTACATTAGCATTATATAATAAACAGTAATGAAACAGCCCCAAAAGAGCGATCCATCACTGCACGAGAGGATACATAAAAAAAAAAAACAGGAAAGATCCCGAAAAAGGATAGAACAAGTTCATCACCAAACCTGCTACCTGCTTCGAGGTCATGAACGAAAAGTTTATTCCGAGAAAACTCACCTGAGCGTTGAATGCATGTCCGAGCAGTTCCACCAGTTGCTTTGCATACTGTTCCGAGCGTCCGGTTTCGGTTGCATACAGGACCGTTGCCTTGATCCGTCGTGATAGGGCCCGTCCGAACAATTTCGATGTAAATTTAACGGCCCTGTTGGGTGGGTGAAAGGAATGGAACGAACAGAGAACGGTTAGTTTGAATAGATAGATGGAAATTTCTCTTTTAGGATGCAACGTGCGTCTTGTACGTTGGGTTCGTTACCGGCTAGGGAAATTGCCTGGATTAGATATTTGCTTGTTCGACACGCTGTAAGGTGAAGGATGTTTGATACAGCTTAAAGGTATATTACTTCTTAAGACGAGCTTCAACACTTTCCCTTCTGTACTGCACGGATGTCAATGAAAACTACATCAAAATCGATCACCGGCATCAGCTGGCAAAAGTAGCGCGAATTGGCACATGAAAAGCACTCAATTGAATTCTCTTTCCGAGTGCTGCTGTGTATCGTATGTTCATTTTCGGCACGTGAATGTTCATTTGACGTGATGACGATTTTCCTCTAGCACATTTTTCCTGCACACCCACATTGGTACACGAGCAGGATGCTGTTGCTGATTCCCGTCGGAGACTGCCAAGCAAACGGGAAGGAAATTGTCTGTTTAACGAGATTTAACGACCTTGTCTCTGCTGTTGCGTGTCTCGTTCTGCATTATGCCTTGGAATGGACAAATGGGAAGAGGTTGATGCGATTCGTTAGGGAGGTGGAATGACAGTTTTGTGAATGGAATTTCCGCCGCAACTACATAGGTACCTACTCCAGTTGTAGTGCATAGATAGAGACTAGGAGTGTGGTCCTCTGTCTCGCAGTTAGAGCCAGAAGCGAGTGACACGCGACGACGATGACGGAAAGAACATGCTTGATTGGATCCGTGAAACTTTTTCCGCCGATGTTTCCGACGATAATAGGGCGATACGAGTGCAGAGATGGGACGACATTAGCATGAATGATATGACACTTTCAGGAAACCGGTTCTCGCTCGGGGGATTTTTATTGAGAGAAGGAAGCTGTTCTGAGCGTATTACGCAAAATTGACAATCTTAAGCTATCAATAGCGTGGCGTGATCAGAAGAAAGGAAATGATTATGGTTATTCTAAAACTATTGGAACAAGGCCATATCGAACGAATCCGTATCGTTCAAACAATGGCAAACGTACGATCGTTCTCATCTACCAACGCAACTGAATGAGCTCTCCTTGGACAGAGGAAATCAATCGGCGCAAAATTATGATGATGCCGAACTTTCCCCTGCAATTGGCATCAGCGAGCTCTCGTGATTGATGGGAAATCCGTTCACCATGGACATCCGAAGAGGCAATATCCTCACAACACAATAACAGATTTTTTTTTGTTGTTGCGTTACGTCAGGCAGGAACCCTTGTGCATTGCGTTTTATTGATTCCCCGTCGAAAGTGGGTTTCATCTCAGTAGGCCGATGGCAGCCACCACAAGAAACAGCAGGCCAAACGAATATTGTTTGATGGGATATTATTTATCCAGTAAATTGGGTCGGAGATTTATGGATGGTCAAGCGGAGCATTATTCGTGGTCGGTTGGAAACCACGCTTTTCCACGCTTTTTCAGGTTATGTAAAAGCTCCTACACTTGTCGGACGGTTGGTGCATACGGTGGGGCGTATTAGTTTGATTGGTAACGTTTCGCACTGTGCGTTTCGGAATTTTATTTACTCAGTTCTGCGAACCTTACCTTGCAATTTGTTTGAAGTTGAATTTCCGTCGAGGTTTTTTGTTTTTCGATGAGTCTCGTCCCTTTTTCCAAATGTGCGTTTTAAGTGCGGATTCCTGTGAAATCGAAAGATAACAACAAATTATATTTTGCAATAAAATCTCTTAACAGTCCCCTTGCTCGCCCTCCCGAATGCTCCCAATTTTACAGGAAATTAGAACTGATTGTTATTGATATAGCAACATTACGATCTTGTCGTACATTTACTTCCAAATAAAGAAAACCCTTCTCCCCCACGGAACACGCAGCGACGGCCCCGTTCGAGCTTTTCAAAGTAAACAATAACGCGCTTCGAGCAGGTCTTAATCAATAAAAATTGATTATCTGTGTCCGGAAATAAAAAGACTTTGATCCGTTGCAACAAAAAGAAGTTAAAGAAGGATGGAGAAGATGGAAGCCTGGTCCTCTGTGTATACCCACCTGATACTCAAACGACGGCCGAAGATAATAGAGCGCCATCTCCTGATGGTAGACTGGCGTTACAGAGGAGGACATTGGCGGCACGATCCATACCCAGTCCGCTGGGCAGCCGTTTCTGAAAAAGGGAACATAAATCGTGGAATGATAAGAAGAGAAGATGATTTTCGGTAACTGAAATTTATATGTTGCGTTCTGGTGTGTGGTTGTGCTTATAGGAAATGGATTAATTTGTTTATCTAAAAAAATAACGTTTTAATCAACGTTATTTTTAGATGCGCTCGTTTATAGCATCTGTTAGAGTATTGATGGCCAATTCATCGGTTGATGATGCCTGCTTTCACGTACCGAATGTTTGTGTAAGATTTCAGCTTTTGCTGGCAGATTTCACGTGGAACTTGTAAAATTTTATCACTAGGGTGGATCAGCTAACTCCCTATTTTGGAGGCGAACCAGTCCAAGGCTGAAAGCCTCCCTAATAAAGTTAAATAATTATAATAATAACTCCCTACTCCCCACCAGTGCTATTAAAAAAAAATATGGGATTTACGAAACCGTGGTAATTTGAACTTGTAGAGTAGTAGAGGTGGTAAAGTATGTTTTTGACATATAAAACCATTCAATTTACTAATCAGAGAGTTACAATCAGCGATTTTATGAGCGGTGAACATTCACTCAGTGAATATTCACCGATCATAAAATTGTAACTCTCTGAAAGCGGAATTGGCATGTTTCATGTGTCAAACACATATTTTACAATCTATTCGTGTAACATACATGGTGAACACATCATCATAAAGGGTGATACGGTCAAAATTTGGTCAATATCAACTTGACGTATTTCTTTCAATTTTGCATTTAAAAAACCTGAACACCCCTCATTTTGAAGGTATGTGTGTGTAGATTGTTGCTCCTATTTTGATTTTGGAATTCACTCTTCAGTTGTCAAAATGCCGTCCAAGCAAGAAGAGCAGCGTATCAAAATTTTGCTCGCGCATCGCGAAAATCCGAGCTACTCGCACGCAAAGTTGGCAAAATCGCTAAAAGTTGCCAAATCAACCGTTACAAATGTAATTAAAGTGTTTGGGGAACGTTTGTCGACAGCCAGGAAGTCTGGATCGGGGGGAAATCGAAAACCGGAAGCCGCTGAGACGACAAAGAGAGTTGCCGGTAATTTCAAGCGAAACCCTAACCTCTCTCTCCGAGATGCCGCAAATAAGCTGGGTGTATCGTCTACAACCGTGCATCGAGCCAAAAAACGAGCCGGACTATCGACTTACAAGAAGGTAGTGACTCCAAATCGCGATGATAAACAAAATACGACGGCCAAAGCGCGATCCCGGAGGCTGTACACGACGATGCTGACGAAGTTTGACCAACAATCAATACGAAACTAACGATTTTAAATTGGTTCACCACTTTAGTAGCCTATTGGTCCCAAGCAAACGATTAACGTACCCTATTCTAGTCGAAATTCTAGTACTACGCAATGTTTGTTTTGATTCGCTATGAAAGTTTGACAGATAAAATGAGGGGTTATTGGTTTTTCCTATGTTTCGAGGGGTGATTCGACAAGCTTGGGATCGAAGATAGTACCAGAGGTGAGCCAAAAAGTTGAGCACGTTTCTTCGGGACCTACTTGTCTTAGAGTTACCTCTATGGTTTGACTGCGTGGTAATGGACGACGAAACCTACGTCAAAGCCGACTACAAGCAGCTTCCGGGACAGGAGTTTTATACGGCAAAAGGAAGGGGAAAGGTAGCAGATGTTTTCAAGCACATGAAACTGTCAAAGTTCGCAAAGAAATATCTGGTTTGGCAAGCCATCTGTACCTGTGGCTTGAAAAGCAGCATTTTCATAGCTTCCGGGACTGTCAACCAAGAAATTTACGTGAAAGAGTGTTTGAATAAACGTCTGCTGCCTTTCCTGAAGAAACACGGTTGTTCCGTACTGTTTTGGCCGGATTTGGCATCTTGCCATTACGGTAAAAAGGCCATGGAATGGTACGCCGCCAACAACGTGCAGGTGGTTCCCAAGGACAAGAACCCTCCCAACACGCCAGAGCTCCGCCCAATTGAGAAAAACTGGGCTATTGTCAAGCGGAACCTAAAGAAGACCAAAAAAACTGCTAAGGGCGAGCAGCAGTTCAAGGCAAACTGGCTTTCTGCGGCGAAGAAGGTGGACAAGGTGGCTGTACAAAATCTGATGGCAGGGGTCAAGCGTAAGGCCCGGCAATTCGGATTTGGAAATGCGGAAGCCTAACTGAATATTTTTCCTGAATTTTATACTAATTGAACTTGAAAAAGAAATTTAATTTGATTTTTTAAATAAACGATTTCACCGATTTACACGCGTTTTCCCTTGACCAAATTTTGACCGTATCACCCTTTAACATCTAATAATTTCAGAAATCAGAAAATTATTTTTTATAGCATATCGATAGCAGCAACCTTCCACTGGAGTATGAGTAAATCTTTTCTCATCTAATCTAATCTAAAACCAACACAGCCAGCAGGGTTGCTTCCACTCACTTGCTATAAAAACATATTTTTCGGAATTATGCAATCATAAGATGATACAATGATATGCTGTACTTGTAAGTAACGAGAAAAGGGTTTAAAGTATGTGTTTGACTCATAAAACCTGTCAATTTTGCTTTCAGAGCGTCACAATAAGCGATCTTATGATTCGTGAGCGTTCACTCAGAGTGAGCACTCACGAGTCGTAAAATTGCTGATTGTGACGCATTGAAAGCAATATTGACAGATTTTATGTGTCAAACACATACTTCACGTTCTCATCTTGTAACTTACAAGTACTAATTATCACTGTACCATCTCATGATTTCATAATTCTGAAAAACATTTTTTTTATAGTAAGTGAGTGGAAGTAACACTGACAGCCAGTTCATGAAACCCTCCTGTAAAATAATAGGAAATTCCAGCATCATTTTTCCTGTCTATTTAATATATTGTGTGTGGCATGATAATTTCTTAAAATGGGATTATACCATCTGTTCTCTTTTTATGGCCGTATGACTACGCCCACTGATTTAGCACAGAGTTACTTCCACTCATTTGCTATAAAACATTGATTTTCGGAATTATGAAACCATTAGATGTTGAAATGATAATATTCACCTGTAAGTTACAAGAAGAGGTTATAAAGTATGTGTTTGACACATTAAACTTGTCAATATTGCTTTCAGAGCGCCACAGTAAGCGATTTTACGATTCGTGAGCGCTCACTCTGAGTGAACGCTCACGAATCATAAAATCGCTGATGGCAACGCTCTGAAAGCAATATTGATAGGTTTAAGTATGTATAAATTTTATTGTAACTAATCAATTAGCAACTAATTAATTATCATTACAACATCTAATGATTTCATAATTCCGAAAACAGTTTTTTTTTATAGCAAGTGAGTGGAAGCAACCCTGATTTAACATACGGTGACTCTTTATCCAGGATTCGCTCCTCAAGCCGCTTCCATAAAATACTATCTAAGTTACACACCTGAGTAGAATCCTTATGAGCGGGGTTGCAGCGCGCTTCGATCGTCATCAAATGAGAATTTAACATAAGCGTGACATTATGTTCCACATCAGAGATGCGCAAAATATATCAACACGGCCAAGCCTACTATACAGAAATTAAGGGGCAAGATGATTCAGAAACATCGAGCCTGTTTAAATCAAAGATGATGAATGGGTGAAACGTGGAAATCTCGTACCGTACGTTCCGTTGCATTGATATTTATAAATGATCGGTCATTAGAAGCATCTAATCTAAAACGGCTAAGTGATGCTCCATTTTTTGTGGTCGGGGCATGAGCACTAACTTTTGTCCTAGCCCCATATGGCTTATGTTTATAAATCCATTACTCGCTTTCTGAAAAGGGAAGAAAATGACGTAGGAGAAGGAAAAAGGAGGAAGGAACCCTAGTTCAATCATGCCTTGTATGAATATCGAGAAAAGTGGGTCTCTAATCAATCTACAAGAAAAGTTCGCGAAATCTCACAATAGCTCACGAACTTTTCCATTTAAAATCTCGCGATATTTTCCAACGTTGAACACGAAGAGGTGAGAGCTAGATTTTAGTGTAGATAAATAGAACGAGAATACTCATTATGTTGTACTCCTATCGTCCTGCAGTACTGCTTTTGAAACAAAGGCTATTCCTTGACTTTTCCGGACTAACGGGTGTTCAATAAAAATGAGAATGATTTCAGTGCTGTCCAACGCTCTTGTGAGAGCATCGCGACCCTTCTTCAATATTCATTGACGTTTTTTTTTTTAAAGAATACACATTATGTTTTTAATAAAAAATACTGATATCGTTGAAAAAAAAAATGTTTTTTACTAGCTATTGAACACCAGTTATTTCTAAACTAGTTCAAATATTCTTCAGACCCATCTTTCAAGTACGAAAACATTACTGAAGACATCAGCCGACTAAAACAAAAGCACAAGGACGACCCTATTGCCGAATGAACCAATGTATAAATCTATGCATGAACTTAGCTATTTGCACTCGTTCCCATCCATTGAAAATAGCGCGCTCGAAATTTCAAAACAAATTATAGCACGAAAGTGGCTCTCAGAAATGATGTTTAAGACAAAGTTGTACAAAACTGAGAAAAGGTACTCACCAAATGAACGACGGTTCGCCCGTGAAGCAAACATTCTCCTATGTCTAGCTCGTCATTTAACAACATTCCATCGGATCCAAAGGGTTGGTTACTCCGCACAGTGTGTCACAAAAAAAGCTTGGGCACACATGGGCACAGTCATTGGCATTGTTTGGCACCCATGGTTACAATTTTTATGATCTTTAAAGTTACTGGAAACACTGATCTTTTTCCTGCGCCTGCACCGTGTGCATGTGTCAAAATATGTTATTGATATTGCCACAATACAATCCAATCCAAAACCGTGGATTCTACTAAATCGAATTGTCAGCGCACATCCTAAAGCCTGTCCAATGAAGAAGGTACATCATTTCGCGCCAGACTGCGTACAATCATTCCGACCACAATCATTCCGATTCCAGCTGAAAAAATCAGGGCAATCGCTTGAATAGCAACACTCCGCAATCTCAGTATTACATTTTTTCGG